TATAGTAGAAAACAGTTTAGCAATGCTGCATAGTGATAATGTGCATGTTTCTTTACATGCTTTGAGGGGTATAGCAGGTGGCAACACACTTTAGTTGCAAGGTCTCATTAAAAAACAGGCAGTACCTTTCCTAATGGACACCGAAGCACTCATAACTTCATCGATGCTAAGTGGGTGAAGTTACTCGGGCTTAAAAACTCAACCTCGTTAAAGATTTTCCAGTTGTAGTTGCTAGTGACACACCTATTACGATCTCAAGGAAATGTGAAAAGCTAACTTGGAAATTTGGTGCACACAGTTTTACAGCAGATTTTCTAGTATTACCGGGCATAACATTCGGCATAATCCTTGGCATGCAATGGTTTCTCGTTGAAAGTCCCACATCGCCTACCTCATGTCATTTGGTATGGTTTAAATACATGTTAGGCTACTCCACATATAGCCAATTGGTTTTGTGTTGGAATCTTAACATGGTATCAGATCCAAAGCCTAACATCTTTCCGGTTATTGTCATGTGCCAAAAGTTGCCCTTTAGTTGGGTCAAAAGTACCCTTTGCCTGGTCCGGCGGGCTTCGTTGGAGGGGGTGTGTTGAAAGTCCCACATCGCCTACCTCATGTCATTTGGTATGGTTTAAATACATGTTAGGCTACTCCACATATAGCCAATTGATTTTATGTTGGTACCTTAACAGTTTCGAACATTGGGTGAAATTGCTTGGAATTGTGCTAAGTTAACCATGAAATTCCAGCATGAAGGGAACACTATAACATTACAAGGAGAGACGTAGAACAAGTTATTGCTACAGGATAGTGGAAAACTTAAAGCAATTGATGTTCGTGCAATGCTATTTCCTATCATTGGTCCTCTCTGTTTTAACATCATAATACTTGAAAATACTTGGTCATTTGGATGAACAACAGCAACTGGAATTGGAGAACTTGTTACAAGCATACAAGTAGCTTGTTTGTTGAACCTACTCAATTACCACCTAACAGAAATATGATCATAAAATTGAGCTCACAAATGAGAAGCCTATTTGCTTGAAGCCTTACGGATATCCTCGAGCACAAAAAGAGGAGATTGAAAGACGAAGTGAAGCATATGTTATCCACTGGATTTATAAGAGAGAGTTGTAGTTCATTTTCCGCACCATTGGTGTTGGTGAAGAAGAAAGACGGATCCTGGAGATGCTGTACTCGATTTCGAAAGTTAAATGCTACCACTATCAAGAATAAGTTTCCTATACCATTAATTGAAGACCTACTTGATGAATTAAAAGGAGCTACTTACTTTACCAAGTTGGATCTAAGGAGTGGGTACAACCAAATCAGAATGGTTGAAGATGACATTCACAAGACAACTTTTAGAACTCATAGTGGACACTATGAATGGGTAAGTGCTTCCATTTGGGCTCGAGCAATGCCCCTGCCACATTTCGAACCTCATGAATGACTTGTTTAGAGAACATCTAAGGAAATTTATCCTTGTGTTCTTTGATGACATTTTGGTTTATACAAAAATGTGGGAAGATCATATCCATTGTCTCGAGCAAACTCTTCAAATCTTGCAGGCAAATACATTGGCATTAAACTACAAGAAGTGCAATTTTGGCACAAAGCGAGTCGAATATTTAGGCCACATAATAACTAAGGAAGGTGTTGCTCCTGATATAAGTAAAATAGAGGCTGTTCAGAAATGGGAAAGACCAACTACTGTGAAGGAACTTAGAGGCTTCTTGGGACTCTCAAGATATTACAGAAGGTTCATCCGAAACTATGGCAAAATGGCTTCTCCATTAACCGCTTTGTTGAAGAAAGACACAACCTTCATTTGGGAACAAAAAGCTGAGGAGGCATTCAACAACATCAAACAGTCATTAACTTCGCACTGTTCTAGCATTGACTTTCAGCAACCCTTCACTATAGAAACTAATGCATCAGCTTATGGAATAGGAGTTGTACTACTGCAAAATAACCATCCAATTGCCTTTATCAGCAAAGCAATGGGTCCTAAGTTTCAACTCCTTTCTGCGTATGAGAAAGAATTTTATGCTATTCTTTTTGCTGTAAAGAAATGACTCCACTATTTCCTTAGGAATCACTTCATAATAAAAACAGACCAGAAAGCTTTGAAGCATCTCCTTGAGCAACCACCTACAACCCTCATGCAGAATTGGGGTTTAGAGCAGCTTATGGGGTTGGACTTTAGTATAGAATATAAAAAAGGGAAGGACAATGTCGTGACAGATGTTCTATCCAGAAAATGTGTTCCAGGACAATTAGTCACCATCTCACATTTGTTAAATGAATTGGTCATTAAAGTCAAACAAACTTGGCAACAAGACCCCAAATTACGGAAGATCATTGACGTAATCGGACCGACAGGAGGCCCTCACAAACACTATAGTTATGCCAACGATTTACTCAAAAGAAAAGGGAAGTTAGTAGTAGGTGCAGATAAACAGCTAAGACAGACAATTCTTAGCCATTTTCATGATTCCCCAATCGGAGGACATTCTGGAATTGATCAGACTTACAAAAGAATAAAACAACATTTTTACTGGAAAGGATTACAGAAAGAGGTAAGAGTATGGGTAAAGGAATGTAACACATGCCAGAGATTCAAATCATTGCCTCAACTTCCAGCAGGGTTGTTGCAACCTTTACCAATCCCTGAAGGGGCCTGGAAATCAACAACAATGGACTTCATTATAGGGCTACCCAAGTCTAACGGATTTTCAATAATTTTGGTGGTTATAGATAGATACACAAAATATGCACATTTCATAGCATTAAAACATCCCTTTGGTGTTGCTGTAGTTGCTACTAAATTCATGGAAACCGTGGTAAAGTTACATGGCTGGCCACAGGAAGTTATTTCCGATAGAGACCCTATCTTCTTGAGTACATTCTGGAATGAATTGTTCAAATTCCACAAAGTCAAGTTGTTGAGATCTACAGCATTCCACCCTCAGACGGATGGACAATCTGAGGCATTAAATAAAACCTTAAAGGGATACTTAAGATGCATCACAGGCGATACACCTAAACAGTGGACCACTTACCTGTCCTTTGCTGAACTTTGGTACAATACCAAGTTTCATGCAACTATTCAGATGACCCCCTTTGAGGCCTTGTATGGCTACAAACCGCCACTACCTTGTCCAACATTTATAGAAGGCAGTCTAGTGGAAGCAGTGGACTTTATTGTGAAGACTAGAAATCAGATTTCCAGGCTGTTACACACCAATTTGACAAAAGCTCAAGAACAAATGAAGTTTTATGCCGATCAAAACAGAACTGACAAAGAATTTGCTATTGGAGACATGGTTTACTTAAAGATCCAACCATTCCGACAACATTCCCTAGCTAATTCAGCCTTTCATAAGCTTGCAGCTAGATATTTTGGGCCATATAAAGTATTAGAGAGAATAGGAAAAGTGGCTTACAAACTTGAGTTACCTACTGGAACAAAAATACATGACGTGTTCCACGTGAGTCTTTTAAAGCAACATCATGGACATCACCAGGTATTCCCTCAATTACCAGCATTTAATGAAGATGCAGAAGTCACTCTACTACCCATGGCAATTTTAGATAGACGCATGAAGAATAAGAACAATAAAGCTGTCACTGAAGTTCTAGTACAATGGGAATTTACAAATCCGGAGGATGCCACGTGGCACGAGCTTCAGGAATTACAGCACCAACATCCAAGCTTTAATTGGCTTCCGCGTTGACCAGACCTTGAGGACAAGATCTGCATTCATGGGGGGGAAAAATGTCATATGTCATTTTATTATAAATTCTGTTTTATCTTTTAATAGTTAGTTCTGAAATAAAAGTGGAAATTAGATAAGATTCCTAGGGACCAGAGGCTATAAATAAGTCATTCTTTGTAAAGTCAATCATCATTCAGAAATTAAAAAAAGAAGTTTGTTTCTTGTTCATCTTTGTGCATCAGAGAAGAAGAGAGAGGTAGGGAAAGAAAAGAATCTTTCTTTACAAATGTAATGTAATGTGATTCACCTACTTAAAGATTCACCTGGGAGTAACTAAATTAAAATATAAACAAACAAAACTAGGATGCGTAGTGCATACTGATAGCTCAGACTTTCATTTTAGGTCTAGAACTGTCATTTGGTGGTACGCAATCTCTACTAATTTAAGCTAAAAAAATTGAAAGTATATAAACTGTAAGCCTGTCTCCCATGTGTTATAGAAAGAAGGACGAGTGCAAATCTAATGAATGCTTGAAACTGATTTTACTAAAACCTTACCCTCAATCATAAATTATCATTTTGGATCTGGATATTGCTAAACTCAACTAGAAGCCATGAAAAGTAAAAAAAAAAAAAAAAAAAAAAAAAAAAGCCTCCCATGTCTGTTAGGTTTCATGCGTTTGAACTTATCTCTACCCTTGTGATTGTTAAATGATGATCATTGCCTGGATAAAGACAAAAAACTGAACGTAGCCAGCCATGGGGAAGTTACGGACTACCTCAATTTTCAAAGAAGAAAGAAGCAGGAGGCAGCACCCATGTTTTCCATTCTTCTATATCATTCTAGTCCAGGCCTAATTGGGACTTGGGAAATTATCAAAACAATGAACTTTCTGTCAGTTCAAGCTTGAATTGAGCATTTTGGTGCCCAAACATTAGTGGACACCTTGGTTTTGATGGTCCAATCTAATGTATGATATGACCCATTTTAGCTTAGAAATGGCCCAAGAGCAGCCAATGACCTTGAGCTAAACCTGACATGCAAGTTTTTAGTAGGCCAACTACTTTACTAGTTTTGACCAACTATTATATTCCATGATTGCAAATAATATATATATGTTAGGCAGGTGAGTATTCAGTACAGGTGCAAAACTTGGTCTACTTTATGAATGCCACTGGATACTTAATCTCATTTCAGTTTCATGATATACTGTTAGAATTTACACTATTATAGCCTTTATTCTTTTTGCTGCTACTGATCCACAACGAAATCTTCTCATGATCATTGTGCTTCTTGTGTTTGTGCAGGCACAACTCAAACCTCTAATGGATCAACTCAGTCGGGTAAAAGACTTGCCTGTTCCAGAATTTGGCAGTCTTCAAGCATGGGAAGCTCGAGCAAGTGCTGCTGTCCGTGCAGCTAATGGAGATATCAATGCTGGAGATTCTAAAATGTCACAGCTAGGATATAATGGAGTGCCAATGCCTTACAGTGGAGACACGAAGGTAACATTCTTCTATTTAAGGGTCATGGTACTCCAACCCCGCAACACACACACACCTACCTGTTATGAATGACATTCATTGTCTTAAAATTTGTTAAAGTTCCAACATAAAACCAATTCACAATTTGTGGAAAGTCAAAATTCATGGATTATTGACTCAGGTGCTTCTGATCACATGTCTGGTAATACCTCTTTGTTCTCTTCTCTCTCATTTCCTAAAACTCCTCATCTCATAACCTTAGCCAACGGATCTAAAGTAGTCTCTAAAGGAACTGGTTAAGTCTCCATTTCTCCGTTTTTAAACTTAAAATCGAGTGAAACATCCGTTCTGAATTATTATCTATCTTTAAGTCTTTCCTTAACGAAATAAAAAATCAATTTGGAAAAGTAATCAAAGTTTTACGAAGTGATAATGCCAAATAATACTTTTCTACTGATTTCTCCACTCTACCTCCATGTCCTCCTCTAGTGCTGCAACTTCCTCTTCCACGAGTAGAAATCATAGCATAGCAGAAGATTCAACAAGTTCTTGATTATTTTTTTCTTTGAGAGTTGAAACACGAAGCAGTCTTGTAGTCAAATTTTCCATAGAAGGAACTTCTTGTCCAGTTAAAATTTGATCTCTAACATGATCAAATTCAGAATTCATAGCTTGGAAAGTCATAACCATATAGAATTTATCCAACTTTTGCTTTATCTCTGTTGAATATAAAGAAAATATAGTTTGGAATTAATTTCCCTTGTGTATAAATCACACATAGGGTGGTCTATTTATAGTAGAGAAATACAACTAAAAGAGTAACTGAAAGTAACAGAATAAACAGAAGATATTGTTTGATATTGTGGTTACCAATATCTAACAATATCTTAACAATATCAAATAATATATAAACAATATCTAACAATCTCTTTTAACGAATTCACCTCTAGGAACATCTTTAATTCTTCAACTACTGACTGAGTTTCAACAATAAAGATCATCATATCTTTATCCACTTGCTTGAGAGAGGCTAATCGATTAGCGGAATTATAGAGGCGTTGAATATCATTTGCGAAGATATTTTGAGCCTTTTTCTAGAAAGAGTTACATGTTTTGAAGGATCTGAGAGTGTTCAAAATATTTGGTTCTACTGATTGTCACAATAGAGAACAAAGTTGATAATCAAGATTTTTCCATTGTTGAGCCTGATCTTCTGGTATCTTACTTCCGTCTTCTTCTAGATGATCGTGAAACCCTTGTCCAAGGAACCAAAGTTTCACTGAAGAGGACCAAGACATGTAATTTTTTCCATTTAATTTCTCAGCCGTTATAGTGGGAGTTCCGGAAAAGGAGGTTGTGGGCCCTAACGACATATTTTAAATAATGCAGATGTAAGATGGAGACAATGGAACCTGTAAGAAGGAGAACACCCTAGATAGAATTAGATAGAGAGCGAAGTATCAATTTTCACTTTGCAAGAAAACTGACGAATGGCAGCAGCAGACAACTATAGCGGAATGGAGGCCGGAAGGTCACTGGAAGGTGGTCGAAAAGTCATCGGATGGTAGCAAAAAAGTGACCGGACGGTTGTCGGAAAAGTGGCCGAATGGTGGCCGGAAAGCCAGAGCGGGACCAACCTGGCTCTGATACCATGTTAAGGTTCCAACATAAAACCAATTGACAATATGTGGAGTAGCCTAACATGTATTTAAACCATACCAAATGACATGAGGTAGACGATGTAGGACTTCCATCACGCTTACTCTAACAAAGTCTGTCGGACCAGGCAAATGGTACTTTTGACCCAACGAAAAGACAACTTTTGGCCCCCGGAAAGATGTTAGGCTTTTGCTCTGATACCAAGTTAAGAGAGTAAAAAAAGTTAAAAGAAGATTTATAATTCAGTGAGATACTTCACTCCACTCTATGATCACATATATATATATATATACATATATATATATATACATATATATATATATATATATATATATATATATATATATATATATATATAGGATTACAACATTTAAAAAAAACAACCACCAACCACTAACCACTACCTAATAATAATTCTAACAAAATTGTACAAATCCTTTACTTTAAGAAAAATAAAGACTCATTGGAAGGAAGTGTTAAAATAATATATTAGATGGAAGAAAGGAAAAATACAATGGAAGAGGATAGCACCTTACATAACAAGGTGTCAAAGACTCTCCGAGAATAAACTAAGGGAAGACATATAAGATGTTTGTACAGTAATACTCTAACAAATACAACATTAGTGTCTTTGCATATCTTCCAGCTACCTCTCCCCTTAAAAAACCCATTTACCAAGCACCTTAGGGACCCCAGAAAAATATAGTTGAAGATGAAAAAAGAGAAGACTGGTCTTAAGTAAATATTCTTGAGTGCACAATACACAGTTATACAATCTGTTACATGCTATATATACAGAGAGATAATAAATAGAGTGCAGTTTACAAAAAATGGTAATTATATTATCTCAATTTCTTTAGATACAATGGACCTATGTCGTGCAGTGAACTAAAGCTACTTGAAAAATGGGATAGTTATAAATACCAGGAGGGAGAAGAAAGATAAAAAAATTATGTGTAAACCAGGAAATAAGATAAATGAGCAAGAATACAATTTTCCTACCTGAGCCAAAGGCTCATCTGAGATGCTTCTCTCAGTCCTGCAAGCTATAGTGCTTTTCTCCCCTCCTTCTGTACCCTACTCTCATAAATCCGATCTAACTCAGCCACGTCACCAAATCTGAGTATACTTTCCATTTAGGTTGCTTGCTATTGTTATGACCCAAGTCCGATAGTTGATACTCATCTGAGCCTTTTCCATCATTCAGCCTCACGTTTCTATCGGATAGTAATTAAGTAGTAATAGTTATTTACAATTGAGATCTGAGGTCTGAGGAGATTTTTTTGAAGTATAAGCATTTTGTGTAAACCAAATAGACACCAAAGTATATAGCACCACCATTGAAGTAAAATTTTTTCTTAGCCCTGCTAAAAATATTTAAAGTCAAAAAGAGGCTGATCCAAGTAAAGGGGACACTAAGGGGTCACCAAAATCACCAAATAACTTACTTGATATTGATCTGTTCATGCGGCAATGTGAAAACAAATTATCAGTTGTTTCTGGGCTGGAAGCCTACACATTATCATTGTTGTTATTTTTGAAACGTTGTCCAAAGATATTGGGGAGAGTTTCAGATTTTCTAGGACAACTTCCTAGTCATTAGGGAGTTGATGAATACATAAAAGTACTTGAATATTCACTACAAGTATAGTCCTGCTCGTTTACCCAAATTCATAGATTATGGTCCTACCCAGGCAGTTTGCGATTTGGGTAATTTTAAAATTTGTTAAAATTAAAGATGCTTGTTTGCATTTGGATTATGGTTCGATTTTCATCAGCGAATTTTAATAGGTGGAGTTTCAATCTCTCAACTGTGTAAGAAAACCTGCAAAATTTTGGTTAGAAAATGGCTTAAAAGCTTGATAGATGTATCTTATAACAAGTTTATAGTACTTCTATATCCATCTATTAAGATTATATTTTTATACAGATAGCTTCCTTTATTCAAAGAGGATCATTATCCAGTTGAATACAACATGAAAGCTATTTGAACTTACATGACCTTTTCCTGAAGCAATATGGAATGAAAAGAACTACTGACAGAGAAGTCATTGAAGAGCATGTCTTAAATTGTTGGCCTGAAATGAATTCAAATAAGATCTTTCTCTGTTTGTGGTGGTAACATGATAGTTTTCATCTCCATGTCTATCATGAATTTATTTACCAATTAGCTAGATTGTCTTGCTTTCATGCCTGTTTTCCTTTCTCTGTATATTCTGTTTTCAGTTAAAATTGTTTAACCTTTTCTTTTATCTTGAAACAAATTACAAGTGAATGAATATGAAGGATAATGCCTATCTTGCTCTCAAGTTATATCACAATGAATATTCTATGAAGCTTTTCAATTTTTGCATCGAGCATATATTCCTTAAATAATTTTAAATACTTAATATTCTTTTGATGAATGTGACAGGTTGTAGTTGACTTTAATAATACTGAAGGTAAAGGAGAGGGCTTTAAGTCTGAAACTGACAGTACAACTTTAAAGGTTTTACCTCCCTGGATGATTACATCGGGTATGAATCTTACAAAGGAACAACGTGGGGAGGTGAAGGAGGAAACAAAGGTGGATGGGACTTCAACTTCCACTGCAGCACAGTACACAGATGACAAGAAATCAACAGTTGGGCATGACGATAATAAAAATATTCAGGTTCTTAAAATAAGATGAACTTTTTTTTTCCTTTCTGTTTGTCTTCCTTTACCCTTCCTCCCAAATGTATAAGACAGTTTTTGTTCACTAATTTTTTTGTTTCCTCCTATTTTTATAGGATGAGTATATTAAGGCTTACTATGCTGCTTTACTTAAACAACAACATGAAATGGAAGAGGCTGCTAAAAAACAATTGTTAAATACACTTGCTGCGGACAATCCTTCTGGCAGTACTTCTGATCGTCAGGTTGGCAAGAAATCAAAACGTGAGGAAGATGATGACGGTACTGAGTGGGAGGAGGCTCCTATTGCTGGTAACGTTGTAGTCTTTTAATTGATATGAAAATGTTTGTATCCTCAAGTTTAAATCCCTAATGTTTTGGAATTTTGTGCTTAATACTGCCTCCCCAATCTCCTCTAAAAAATAAAAAAAGGCAAGGCGTAAAACATTAGATAATAACTTTTAAAATTCATGTGATTAGTTGTGAGATTATATTATTGCTAGGATTTTTTTCTGTATTTATTTTAATTATATTTAAATACACATGGTCATCACCTGGATTCACGTCTAGAGCTTTATTATCTTTGTGGTTTTGAGATTATTAGTGCCACAATGGTGATATTTACTTGGATTGAATGATGAGGATACCCAACTTCATATAAATTGCAATTTGGTAAAACAAACAAACAAGGTCACTCAGTTTTTAGTATATATCATCCAAGTAGAACTAGGTTCAAGCCCAATCAAACGACTGAAACATTTCCTCTCCTTGGCTAAAAAGTGATAAGCCTCTTTTTTCTTTTCACATACACCTAGAAATAGTTGCCCTTTTTGGGCAAGTCACATCTCTCCCCCCTTCAACAACACCTTGTCCTCAAGGTTGGAGATTAGGAAACCTATTTTGCAGTTTAGCTCTGTTTACCAGAAATCTTAACACGCAGGCAGTTGCTGCTATTGCACCAATACTTCCTTGATTCCCTGCTGATTTTTCTTGACAGCTATGATTTCTTTTGGGATATTCTGGAGTTCTCAATCATCTGCTATTAAAGAAGGTGGTAGTGGCTGGATGGTTCTAGTCCCAATTAGCTATTTCTTGGCGTGGAATAAACAATTTTGCAAGGATCTATGGGAATAGGCATAAAGCAGAACTCATTAGAACTTGGAAGAACTGAAGTAGTTCTAGCTATGGATAGGTTGGTTTGTTTGGGGGATAGTGAGGCCAACTCAAAAATTTAACAATTAAGTGGGGAAAGGACAAGGATCAGAAAAAAATTGAGAGGAGATCCTTCATTGTTTTAAACTCAAACTGCTTTCAAGATCTTCCTCAGCCATTGAAATGATGCATGTCAGCAATTAAGGTGTCGTGCTATATCAAGTTGTGTTCTTTCTATTTAAATTCTTTAGTATTTGTATTGTGTTTGACTGGCTTGTGTTAGTTGGACCAGCATAAAAGTTGGTTCCCTTCACACTGTTTTGGAAAATATGAAAGGAACTACTGGCAAGAAATTGTTGGTTGAATGTTATTGTGAAGAGGAAGGATTGCATTGTTATGTGAGGGGGTGTATTACTGGTAATAATTATATTTATATGTCTTCTGTTCTGATTGATGGACCCCTTTAATTTGTCTAGGTCTTATTAAGTTGATGTTTCATCAACATTCTGGTGCTTGTGCTGAGTTTTTCATATTGATTAGAAATTTCATTTGAATTAGGACATCAAATTTGTTATTTATGTTTGTGATTGTGATAGAACATCAAATTTGATCTGAAAAAAATTATTGAAACAATCTCAAATTATACACTGTAGCAGTGGTATTCTCTTGTACCATATGTAACGCCCCGCATCACTCCCCGCACGCACGCGAGCAAGAACGAGGTTTGAGAAACAAGGGCGTGACACATAGCTCTCTTGCATATAGTATTCTTACTGTTCTTAGTTCTAACACTCAAAACTGCATTTTTACACTGTTCTGTGATTAAGAAAATACACTACAAACTACAACTATTAAATGGCATAACCACCATTCACTACAAAGCATAACTTTTGTTGAATATAGAGAAAATATGGTTTGGAATTAATTTCCCTTGTGTATAAATCACACATAGGGTAGTCTATTTATAGTAGAGATATACAACTAAAAGAGTAACTGAAAGTAACAGAATAAACAGAAGATATTGTTTGATATTGTGGTTACCAATATCTAACAATATCTTAACAATATCAAATAATATATAAACAATATCTAACACTCCCCCTCAAGCTGGAGCATACAAATCGTATGTGCCAAGCTTGTTACAAATATAATCAATTCTAGGACCCCGTAAAGATTTAGTAAAAATATCTGCTAACTGATCACTTGAGTTAACAAACTCGGTCTTGATATCTCCAGACATAATCTTTTCTCGAATAAAATGACAGTCAATCTCAATGTGTTTGGTCCTCTCATGAAAGACAGGATTAGAACTAATATGAAGAGCAGACTCGATTGTCACACACAAGTGTCATTTGAGTGACATCTCCAAATTGTAACTCTCTAAGCAATTGCTTGAGCCAAACAAGTTCACGAGGAAGTCGAGGCCATAGCTCTATATTCCGCTTCGCACTGGATCTTGCCACAACACTTTGTTTCTTACTTTTCCATGAAATCAAGTTACCACCAATGGAGACACAATATCCGGATGTAGATCTTCTATCCGAAGGAGATCCGCCCAATCAGCATCCGAGTAGCAAACAACTCTTGTATGGTTATTAGAAGCATATAACAATCCTTTTCCAGGAGATCCTTTAATATACTTCAAGATACGAATGACTCGCATTCCAATGATCTTCACATGGTGAATTAAGAAATTGACTTACCACACTCGACTGCAAAGGAAATGTCGGGACGAGTAACCGTAAGATAATTCAATTTTCCAACCAATCTTCTATACTGCTCAGGATCAGATATAGGCTCCCCCTGATTTGGTAGAAGTTTAGTATTGGGATCCATGGGTGTATCAACATACTTTGAACTCATCAACCCAGTTTCCTCCAAAATATCTATGGCATACTTCCTCCGAGATATAACAATACCATCATTGGACTGTGCTACCTCAATACCCAAGAAATATCTAAGTTTGCCAAGATCTTTGGTCCGAAAATGGTGACAAAGATGTTGTTTCAACCGAGAGATGCCATGGTTGTCACTACCTGTAAGAACAATATCATCAACATATACTATCAAGTAAACACATCCAAGCACTCGAGTGTCGATAAAAGACAGAATGATCCGATTCACACCGAGTCATACCAAATTGTTGAACAACCTTGCTAAACTTTCCAAACCAAGCCCTAGGAGACTGTTTTAGGCCATATAGGGATTTGCGAAGACGACATACCATCCCAGAAGACTCCCCGAGCAACAAACCCAGGAGGTTGCTCCATATATATTTCTTCTTGCAAATCACCATTGAGGAAAGCATTTTTAACATCCGAGTTGATAAAGAGGTCATTGTTGAAGAAGCGGCCATGGCGATAAATAAACGAACGAAGCCATCTTTGCCACGGGGAAAAGGTATCTCCATAATCCAACCCAAAAATTTGAGTATAACCTTTGGCCACAAGACGAGCTTTGAGGCGATCAATAGTACCATCAGTGTCCAACTTTGATAGCAAACACCCACCTGCAACCAACAACATATTTCCCGGACGGTAACGGGACCAATTCCCAAGTTCCACTATTATGAAGAGCACTTAGTTCATCTAACATGGCCTCGACGCCAACCAGGATGGGCTAAAGCTTCACGAGACAGCTTTTGGAATGGTCACGGAAGAAATAGAGGAAAGACATGTATAAAAAGGTAATGACAATCGATGATAACTCAAAGCAATATAATGGGGAGAGGGATTACGTGTAGAACGAATACCTTTTCGGAGGGCAATGGGAAGGTCGGACTCATGTGTCGGATCCGGAGGAGACAGAGTAGTTGGCACTTGAGTAGAGTCACATGGTGGTGGTTGTGATTGGTTTCGAGAACTATAAATCGAAGAGGCAGTGGAGAAGAAGCTAAGCTGCGGAGCAGGAACTAATGGTGAAGAAGACACAATTAGAGGGTCACAAACAACGGGAACATTAAATGTATTAGGAGTGTTGACAAGATTGGATGGAGACAGAGGTGAAGTTTGACTTTTAAAATAAAGAGACAACTCATCAAAGGTGACATCTTTTGACACAAAATAACGGTTAAGAGAAGGAGAAAAACATTTGTATCCTTTTTGTGATCTTGTAAACCCTAAGAAAACACATTTATGTGATCTAGGAGAAAGCTTGTCCAGACTGTAACTAAAATTATGAACAAAACATGTAGACTCGAAAACTTTCAGAGGTAAAGGATGAAGTGGTTCATGAGGGAATAAAATGGAATGAGGTATTTTATTATCTAAAACCGAAGAAGGCATGCGATTAATGAGATAACATGCAAGAAGAAGAGCATCACCCCAAAAATGTCGAGGAACATCTCCATGAATTAAAAGTGTGCGAGTTGTTTCAATAAGATGTCTATTTTTACGTTCAGCCTACACCATTTTGTTGAGGTGTATAAGCACAAGAAGTTTGATGCAAAATACCGTGAGAAGCCATGAATTGTTTAAAAGAATGAGAAAGATATTCATGGCCATTATCACTACGCAAAACTCTAATAGAAACACCGAACCGAGTTTGAATTTCATTAAAAAAAGTTTGAAAGATATGAAATAATTCGAACGATTTTTCATCAAAAATAACCAAGTGCATCTCGGAATAATCATCAATGAAAGTAACAAAGTATTGAAAACCTAAAGTAGACTTAACGCGGCTAGGTCCCCAAATGTCGAGTGAACCACGGCAAAAGGGGACGAAGCACCACGTGTGAAACTACGAGGAAAGGAAGTACGACTATGCTTGCCTAATTGACATGACTCACACGCCAAACTAGATAAGTTAGACAAGGCAGGGACAAGTTTCAGTAACTTGGCAAGACTTGGATGACCTAACCGAGCATGAAGAAGAGAGGGAGACTCCATAACTCGTACTAACATGTGTAGAGGGACGGAGATAATAAAGACCATGAGACTCACATCCTGTGCCAATCACCTGCTTCGAACTCCGGTCCCGTAAACACACCGAATTGTTGGTAAAAGTAACAACACAATCAAGAGAACGAGTTAGACGACCGATGGACAACGAGTTAAAAGGAGACCCGGGGACATAAAGAACATTATCAATGGTTAAAGAAGGAAAAAGTTTAACCGTTCCAACACCATGAGATGATACTCTAGAGCCATCGACCGAGTGTAATAGAAGGTAAATGATTAGGAGAGGATAAAGAGGAGAACAAAGATTTGTTACCGAGTAATATGATCAGGTGGCTCCTGAATCAAAAACCCAAGGACCAGGAGAAAATGATTGGGTCGGACCAGCAAAATATGTATTTGTATGTGTGACGGATATAGTGGAACTAGAAGATCTGTTGATCCTTATACCATTCGAGAAATTTGTTGAACATAGCGAGACATGTCTGATGCAACAGAAGAAGGAAGATCCCCTACGGATAAAGGTGGGGAAAGATTGGTCCGAACAACTACAAGCAGATCGAGGAGGACGACCATGTAATGTATAACACTTGTTAATCTTGTGACCTAGCTTGCCACAATGTTCACACTTAGGACGCCCTTTTCCCGTTTGCGAGGGCGAGCCCGGTCATCACGATGGGATGTCAACACAAAAGAATCGTTAACAAAATTGGAAATAGTGGAAGAAGTCATGAAGAGCGGGAGAACAAACCCTGACCGAGACAAGCAAAATCATGTCACCGGTAAAAAAAAATGAAACTCCGGCGAATTCTCCGACAGCGCGGACCGTGAGATCTGCTCCAAGTGCAGCGGTGACGATGAACGTGAACTAGTACACTAGGTAAGTTCCCAGGAAAGAGAGGTGGGTCACTAATGGACACACTTAAATACCAAGTCTTTCCTTGTCGAACTTTCCTAAACATGCACTTTCACACTACCAAATAAAATTCAATGACAAAGATAATTCTTTTCTGATGTGGAGGATCAGTTTATCAGCAGCGGTGGGGCGGCTTTAGCAGCGGTGGGGAGGCTCTAGCAGCGGTGGGGCGGCTCCAACAGTGGACAAAAGGCGGAAAAAAAAAAATTCAAGATAACCTTAAGCTCTAGATACCATGTTGAATATAGAGAAAATATGGTTTGGAATTAATTTCCCTTGTGTATAAATCACACATAGGGTAGTCTATTTATAGTAGAGATATACAACTAAAAGAGTAACTGAAAGTAACAGAATAAACAGAAGATATTGTTTGATATTGTGGTTACCAATATCTAACAATATCTTAACAATATCAAATAATATATAAACAATATCTAACAACTTTCATATAGCATAACTGCCATTTGACTACGCACCTCCTGGAATAAACATTTCAAATAGGAGATTTAGGAGCATGTTCCTGTGCATCTAAACCAGGAACAGGCCCATTAATCTGGGATCCAGTATTTAGTTTCTACATCAGATTGATTATATGCTCTCTGATTGATGGAAATTTTGGTGTGCCAAGAGGATCAATTTTTCAATAATCTTGATGCATGAATTATTGTTTTTCTTTTGGGACTACTACATTTCTGGTAGAAAATTTCCACTTAGGGGCATGGTGGTGTTTAATATGCAACTGCCAGTTGCAACAGTGCAATTGCGTGGCATAGCATCAATGTTGGTACTGGTAATGACTTCTATCGAAATTTTGAGAGGAGAGCCAAATCAGGTTGATTGATGAGGCCAGACAGTAAAGAGTTCAAAGAATAGGAGAAGGCTTCCATGAAATTATGCCGCTTAATCAGAGGTTGACTCAAGATATACATTGGTGGTTTTATTTATACCAACTATTGAATATTCATAACAAGTAATAAACTAAGTATTGAAATCCACATTGATTATAGAAATAATTAAATTATAGTATATAGGTGAGGTGCAAACCACACTTTTGAAGCTAGTTTTGTAGGATTGAGTTAGGTTCATCTCATTTTCTTAACATGATATCAGAGTCGATGGTTCGTTCAATGATTGACTTAGTCGAATACGATATGGAGTAGATGATGGATTCTGATTATGGATCTTTGTATCGAAAATCTTTCTGTTAATGGTTTCAGGCATGCGAGTCTCGTTGTGTCAACGACAATACACGTAAAGGTCACTACTACAGTACTTGTGATTAAAAAATGCTTCAACTTGAGGGAGAGTGTACCAAATGTGAAAGTGAATCACACTTGAGGAGTGATTGTTGGAATCTAAGTCTAAGTTTAAATCTCACATTGGGTAAAAATAAGAAAGTTGAATAACATATAAATAAGAAAGACTCACAAACTTAATGACTTTTTTAATTGAAGTTGGTATCATATCCTCTTATATGTTTGTTCATGGTCCCATTCTTGAAAATCTATGTGTTAGCTTCATTGGAAATACCCAATAGTGGTGTGAGAGCCTATCCTAGCAATATTTGTTGGTCTATTACTTCTCTTTCTCGAGATGTTTATCCTCAACTTGAGGGGCATGTTGAAATCCCCGTCATGTGAGGGGATGTGTTGAAATTTCACATTGATAAAAGATACAATAAAATTATAGTATTAGTGAGGTGTAATTCTCATTTTACAAACTAGTTTTATAGAGTTGAGTTAGATATTTCTTTATTTTTAACTCGTTATCTAACCATTATTGGACCACCTATATCCTTGATGTGAGTTTCGAGCTTGTTAGGGTTGAGTTAGACATCTATCCATTCCTGATACTAAATAATTGATATTTTACTTTCCTAATAACTGGTATAAATAGGGTAGATATTAACTTGTTATTTGACAGAAATTGTGGAATAGTAGAATGGCAAGCCAATTGCTGTGGTAGATGTGGTTGGTGTTATGGAAGTTGTAACAACTGTAATTGTAGAAGAAAGAGGTGGGATAAGTCCATATGCCTAGCAAAAATTTTATATAGTGAGAATCTAGTCTATGAGTATGGGTGAGAGTTTTCCGTATTGTAAAATTGATATTCAGTACCAGTCTGGAATCCTGGATTAAAATAAGAATCATTACGCACCAGGAAAATCTTTTAAAATCTCTGATGTTAAAATACAGGAAGTATTTCTCATAAGAAAAATTCATAGGGAAGATCATTGTAATTTCAAAAATTAGAGGTATGTTGTTATAGGCTTTAACAGTAGTAGCTTTTTTCCATTTTGTGGGATTAGTTGCACAATTATAAACAACGCCATAAAGTTTACTGTAAATCATGTCTTTCAGCAAACCATTTTTATCATTTTTTTTCTGTATAGTTTTAACCTGTAATTTTTCTCAGACCTCTTAACTATTAGATAATCCTATGTCTGATGTAACAATCATAAGGCTAAGGAGGGAATCATCTCTCAAAACTAGCTCAAGAGATTGGAGAACCTCCCACCTTATAAAACTTCCCTGGTAAGGAGATGTGGGACTTATTGTTACATCTGACTCATTGATGGAGTATAAGTAAGTCTTCTCCATGCTTGCTCAAATCACCTAAGTCAAGGCTCTATCTCGATAGGTGTTGTTCTTACTTTCTTTCTAATACATTTATTCTTAATCCTATCTTGTCCATCTTAAACTTCTTATCTCAGCAGCATTGATCATTTTCTCTTGTTAGTTTTTTACTGCTCAACATTCAATGGCAAATCTTACAATTGTGGGGTCAACAGAGGCACGTTTGACTTATCTAAAATTAATTATAACATCTTCCTTTTTCTTGCTACCCCAGCCTTAGGAAACCTTATCTGAGAACTAGACATTAAGATGTGCTTGATGGAGCTAATTGAGTCGTATTGATCTGAACACTTTTTCCGCTCAGATTTGACTGAGACCAGAAATATTAAAATTTAATAAACCTTGTGTATTAATATTGACTGGTTCCCCTTCTGAAATTTATTTTTTAGCAATTATGTTCTTCCCTTTATTTTTATTTTTTTTATTGATAATGTTATTTGTGTCCACTTATTTAATCACTTGGGCCTAATATTTAATAGGGAATGGCAATGAAGGTTACAAGGTCGGTGATTTGAATGTTGAAGCTGAGAAAGTTCCGGCAGATGATGATGACGAAGACGATGTTGACTGGGAGGAAGGTTGAAGAAAAAATTTCTTGTCAGTGGAATGTAGTGGCCTATTCTGATTTGCAGGCAAGTGCTCGTAAAGTAATACCGCTTCAAATTATTTACAAGACCGGAATTAAATACTCGTATATTCTTGCTTGAGCATCTTATGGTAATGCGTCCGTGGCTTCAGATGAGGTGCGCTGTTGACTTTTTAGTTTTTTAATCATCAGTTATGGTCAGATATTGGATGAACAACACTACTTTGAAACTTTTCATGTTATTGCCGTCCAAAAACAGTGTCTCTAACTTTATTTCATTGTGCTCACGTTACTATTTACCAATGGATACCTAGATTTGTGAGTAATGGGCCATCTAAGTTTTACCTGTGGTGTTGGTCACACACCATTGAAGAAAACGGTGAGCCCTGAATTAGATCTCCTCTAACCATTCCCGATAGGGCCTTCATTTTTCCAAACACATCCAAGTTTTGTCCATTTCCTCAAAATGTACAACAGATGTAACGAGAGATGGACACTGTGTGCGTTGCCTTTCTTGGCATCTTCAAAGTCAAAAATCAAATCCCATGAAATTGGGTTTAGTAATTTATTATTAAGTATTTTTAATATTTATTTTAAAATACTAAGCTTATAAATCACCGAAAATAATGTGTATGTGATCGTAATTTTAAATTTGTGTGATCAATTTTTTTGTAGCCGATTTTTTGAATGCTACAATGTTGTTTTCCTCTTATAAATAAAAGAATCAAGTTGGAAGTTTTCGTGTATTTATCTGTGGACTGTAAAAAATATGGAGGTCAAAATATGTTCTATTTGGTGGTAACATGGTTCCTTAACTAAAAAGGCAGAGAAAGCTAGAAACAAGTTTAAGACCCACATCCACATGCCCTAAGTCCGTCATCAGAAGAGATATTTTATCAATTCATATGTCAGCGTAAATCAAAACAAACGATATATTTGAAAGAGGACGGAAGGAAGAGTCTAATTGAAGCAAGTGTTTTCAGCTCTCCTATGCAACTTTCGCGTGTTCCAACGTATATGTATATATATAATGTAGAGTACAGATGTGTGAATTGCCATAATATTATTTACATGATTGTTATAATTATGTATGAATTTTGATGAAACGTATTTGAATATTTTATGCCAGCTCGTTTATGCTGAAGCTGAGCTAAAGGTCAAATACCAATCACATGTTTTATAAATATATATACATATGATTAAAAATAGAAAATAAAAGGGGGAATTCAAGTGCTTGTACAAGTTTATTTCCTTTATTTAAAATGGATTGTCGGTCAATACCCTTAAAAAAAAATTAGTCAAAATAATCTCACAACTCTTTTCTCCCTTCTGTCTGTTACCATACAGCATGTTGCCATAAACCTGCGTTCAGACCAAGAATATCTCCAGAATAGATATTTCACCCGGGAAAACTGGAAGGAAGATATATCAAATTAAATGAATTTGTTTTGCATTTATAATCTTGCATTTCCATTTTACCTTTGTACACAAAAGTACTCAACGGAGATGTCGTTGTTTTTCATACAAGTGTGTTTGAAAGCTGGATTTGGTGGTTTGAAAACTTTAAGAAGCCACCAAATGTTACTAGACAAAGTATCTTTTCAAGACGTCCCATGACACTTTCCATCTCTATCCTTTTAGGCTATAAGCGATTATATTTCAGCTTTTTATATGGAGCTTCATAATCACTGATAGCAATACTTACCAGATGCTTGTGTTTTAGTAATAAAACAAAATTAAAATTTGGCATAATATAATGAATAGATTAATTGGTTGCTGCTTATGGTTCCACTTGGTTGGAAAAATGTTGATAATATTTAATTATATTTATACCCGTTCTAAGTACCCGTAGGCTAGTTGGAAATTTATCGGGGTGGTGTGGTGGTGGTGTCAATATATAATTGAAGGTTTGACAATCTGGTCTTAATGACTCTTTGTTCCTTGAACGCAAAGGAAGCTTCATTGGAAGAAGAATGCTCGACAATTCTGCCCCCTCTCCACATCTACTGGACCTTCCAAATTAACTCAACCCCTCTTCATCTCTCTCTCTCCAAATTAATTATTATAGCTTTTATATAAAAATAATAAGCTATAGTCTAATGGAAGCAAGCACTCTCCATGTCAAGCTTCCCTTGCAGCATTTCTTATGCATGCTTACCACCTTCAAGCTGTCAAACCTTCAAAACTCTTACTTCATCTTCTTCTAAAACCTCATTATTGTTGCTCCTCAAATTCTCTTTCCATAAACCTCTCTCTCCTCTCTCTCTCTCCATGCAATCATTCCGATCTCCTTCTGCCTTATCTCACCCATCATGGCCCTCATCATCAGACTCCAACATCTACTAAGCCTCATTCTTTGGCTCTTCCTCTTATCCCTACTCTTCCATGCCTGGTTTGGTTTCAATTCCCACTATCATAACCAACCCCACTTCTCTCTCTATCCAAATAGAAAAATCTTAGCAACTGCCCCAGCTTTTGACTTCACCCCATTTCTCCACCACCACCACCACCACCACCGGCATCATCATCGCCGTCACCACCACCGGAGTCACATGCCAGACCCAAAGCTAACCGAGATTGATCCACGTTTTGGTGTTGAGAAACGCCTCGTTCCAACCGGTCCAAACCCATTGCACCATTGATGAGGTTCACATACTTTTGTTTTTTTTGTTTTTTCTTTTATTCTTCACCGTCATATATTGTAATTTTATGTATTCATAAAGGAGCATTTGTCTAGTTCTAGTAAAAAAAAAAAAAATGTTATATATACATATATTCCTCTCATCGTAAACTAATATCACTATTATTTATATTATATTATATATTTTTTGTACATGCGTGTGATGAATATCATCATTATCATTCATATATAAATGTATACTTCATTGATCCTTTCATGTCTTTAATTCAGAATTTGCGCCATTATTGATCCAACTAAAACCATTAATTTTGTATAATTAAGTTGTTCGAATTTATATGGTTAGGTTTTGATGAAACACGCGCCAATTAATATGGCCTACTAATAATCAATTGTCCTAAAGCAACATGCAAGATGCATCGATAATGAGATGCTTAAATATTATGCGAATTGATAGAAAAAAAAAATAGTATATTCGCTCGTAGTGGTTGTGACGGCACGGCACATCAAAGAAGAAGAAATTGGCAAGATATTGGAAAAGAAATGCATTTTAATATTGGTGTTAGTTATGATAATAAGGGTGTTTGAAAATACATGTGATCGTGCAGGGATGTTACTAGAAAAGGGTTGACTTTAAACTTCATATCATGCTCACGTAGGTCTTTGCTGTAACCTCTCTTTTTTCTCTTTTCTTTTCTTGGTAAATATTTTCTTCGATTTGGGCCTAAATGCTTGTTTCAAGTAACATCTTATCATCAACTTCAGACTTTTTCGGGTTAACGTCACATTCGATCATTTTTTAATATTTTATTTTGCATCTTCTAATTTCAACCGGGTGGGTATTTGTTTGATGAAGTTTAACCACTTGATTTTGATCCTCACAATTGAATGGGAGGTTTAAAGCAGAACAGTGGAGTATTGAATGAGTAGAAGGATAGTGAAATTAGGCCTCTTTATGGTCTGTTTGGTGGAGTGGTTAATTGTGGTGTTATTGTGGCTGGGGACCTTCACTTGCTCTTCCTTTCACCTTTCACCTTTCACCTTTCACCTTTCCTTCACAGTCTCAAATCCCTTCAAAATATGTCCTTTCTGCTTCCATCACGCGTGCGTCTAACTATTGCTAGGTTATCTATTGGTTGACTCTCCAATAGTGGAGACTCCACTTTGGTTTTTAGTTGATGCAGGATTTTCATTTTTTTTTTCCTTTCTGTTTTTTATGATTTATTAGTAACTATACAAATGTCACTTTACTATGCCTCGTGTTTGAAGGTTTTACAAGTTTAGCTAATCCATTTTCATAGATTGATTAGGTAACTTTTTAAGTTGGTCAAATAATTTGAAAGAGTTTTAATTTTCATCCTCACCATCACTTTCTTATAATCTAATTGTTTTAATGAGTAATTATTTTATATAGAACTTTAAGAAAAAACTTTATCTCTATCCATGGCATTTATTATTAGCAGTTTTTTTTTAATGATAATAATATTATTATGATTATTAAAAATATTATGTCATGTAATACGATTAAATATTTCTCAAACTATTTTATATATTATTAATTAGTTTTATGTTGGAATATTTTCATGTTATTTGAGTCAAAAATTTTAAATATTATCTTAGATAGGATTTATTTTTATAATTGTGGTTCAAAATATTTTTTTTCCTAATTTGACACATTTTCGATAATACTGGATCAAAAATTACCTTTTGATAACAAGTCACGCTACAATATTTTACTAAACTTGGATTGGAAGTACATACCAAAAATCACGTGGATAAAAAAAGTTCCTTTCCAACTAAATGGACACTCACCCACAGGGCTTATTAAATGTTGGATAACATGTCAAGTTCATGAATTAATGCGTTTTATATAACAAAATCCTGTTCATTTTTATTTTTTTCTAGCAGAAGTTAGAGAGTTGGGGGAGATTGTACGTTGAAAAGTGTTCATCTGTTTCATGAAGTTATTAAACAAGTTTTTTAAGTGTTTCTCAAATTTTGAGGACATACAACGTTGTTTTGGAAGAGGGCATTTGATATTCAAGAATCCAACGAGAAAAATGTAGTCAAGTGAGAGGATTAGATAGTTTTGCAGCATTTTCATTGATATGTTATATTAGAGTTTTCCAAGACATTTAATGAATTAGGTTTTAATTGTAACATATAACTTTCAAAACAAGTTTATTTGTTCACCTGACTTGAATATTGTTTTAAAATCTAATTTAGAAAAAAGATGTATTGTGAAGGGGTTATTGGAAAACTTTGCTTTATAATAGGATTTTTTTAATAACTTTATAAATATATATTTTATTCTGAACATACTCTTTGGCATTAACGTATATAATCTCCATATTTTAATAATAAAAAAAAACACATTTTTATCCATTGTCATTTACACTCATAATTAATCAGAAATCCTAAATTTTTTTGTATCAGATAAATTATGTTTTAGACCGTTTTTTCTAACCACGTCACATTTTTTTTACTTTAACTATTGTTAAAAAATTCCTCTTGTCCAACCCTATAAATGATTTAGAAATCATTTGGGAAAAGAAAAAAGGATAAAACTCTAATTAATTAATTTGAAAGTGTTTAGAACTTCCTCTGAGTTTTATTATATACTCAAACAAAAATATTTTACGAGGAGTGACACGATTTAGAATTAAGATAAAAAAATCGTTCAAAAACCCTTTTTAAATGAAATTCACAACTTGCAAACACAGAACAATAATATGATCTTTTCAAAGTTATGGGTACAAAAATCAAGCACAGAAAGCAAGTACCTATAGTTTCTTCACGATTTTCATAGTTTCTTCTTATATTCCTATAATTAAAATAAATTTAGTTTATTTTTATATCTATTTTCATTTTCATAAATATTTATTTCTGATTTTTAAAACATTTAAATGTCTAGTTTTTAAATCCTAAATGTTTCCATTCTTCCTTCTTCTTCTATTATTATTATTATTATTATTATTATTATTATTATTATTATTATTATTATTATTATTATTATTAATTAAAGATCTATTATTTTAGAAATAGATAAGAATCTTAAAAAAATTAATTTTTATTATCTTTTTATCACGTACAATATTTTTAAATTGTGGATTTGAAACAAGATTATCTGATATGATTTTTTGGAAATACTACCCAGACATGTATTTTGAATCCACTATTATAAAAAATATTGTTATGTATCCACCATTTTAGAATGTGTTTATGGAAAATCAAATGCAAAAATTCTATTATGGGGATCCCCCTATATAAATGTGTTCAGTAAACAATACAAGATTTTGAATTGATAATTTTTCAATTTCTTGTTTACATATGCAATGGAGAAAAGTTTTTTAAATGATAATATATCAGATGAAGTTGATATGTTAATAAGCTTAGACAATATAGTGAAACACATTCATCATAATTTAGTTGATTTTACTGATGCATTTACATCGAATAAGATAAAATTTTAGTTATATATTAATATTATAACTTATAAATTTCATATATAGTGATTTTATATTTATTATTATAGATATTTGTTATATAGGATGATTTGCTTAAACTGGTTTGAGAGGTTGCGTTTAAGTTTTGATTTGTAGTTATTATACTTGGGTTAGATATAACAAATGGTCATCAAGGAAATAAGACATATATGTATTATTAGGTTATGAAAGAGGTGGTAAATATAAAAAATATTTGCATCGAACTCGATATAGGAAGTAAAAAATGTGAGTGTCCCTTTAAACACTAGAAAAACCTATAAAGAATGATAAATGATAGATGCTAAAGTTAGTTTGTGGAAGTCATAATCACGACTTAGCTGGTACGTGGATAGGTCATCCATATCCTCGTAAACTAACATGTAATAAAAGTCATTGCTAGTTAATATTATAAAGAGTTTGATGAGACTTAAAAATATTCTACTTATATTAAAGGAGAATATTGAAAAGAATGTTATAAGTATAAAACAAACTCATAATGCAAGATACACATATCATAGAAGTGTAAGAGGTCGTAATGAAATTATTGGAATAAGACAAGTATATTAAATAACATTTGTTTGATGAGAGTACAAATATTTTATAGACACACATTTTATTCTCTCAAATTATTGAATGCATTTAATTTAATATTAATAATGAATAACACTTACAAAATTAAGTTATCATTACTTGAGATTGTTAATGCAATATCTACATGAATTATGTTCTCTACTACATTTGTATTATCGGGTGTTGAAGGTGAAAATAACTTTGCTTAGGTTCTTGAAAGAGGATTATTTTTAAGAGTTGATTTGCTCCCTCCAATATTGGTTTGTGATAGAGATTTGGTGCTAATTAATATAATTGCAATTATATTTTCTCATACAACTAACTTTTTATGTTTTCTCATATTCAAAGTTTTATTCTGGATCAAGTAATTTGGATTCCTATATACAACTTTAGTGCACTTTTCATATAATGGGAACAAAATATTAACAATTTCTTACCTTATGGATTAAAACATTCTTGAATGGAAGTGAAACCGCAACAAACGAAATTACAGAAACTATGGAGGTGTAGAGAAGCATAAAGCTCATAGGGTATCAAACAAAAATTACTAAAAGGATAGTTTGATCAATTTATATGGGTTATGGGGTGCAGGAAGAAATTCTGGTAATACACGAAGCAAGTGTCTATTTTAAACTAGTAGGCCCAAATATTCGTTTCCTAATAACGGGCCATCGAGAGATTAAGCCCAATTCAGTTTTTTATTGGGCTAACTCAGTATGGATAGTTGGGTATGGAAACAGCCAAGTCCACAAACAACACCAGATGGCAAGTTGCTTTCTGCAGTCCCAAAGTTTCTTCTTCTCCGACTTTTTGTTTTTTAATCTTTCGGATAGACCATTAAAAAAATGTAAATTACTTTATGGAATAAATCACTTTCAGAATAATCAATGATTAATCTGAATTATAAATTAAATTCTATAATTAATGACATTATGGACTAATCAAGCCAGAAGATTTAAAAAAAATCACAGCAATGCAAACAGAAACTTTTGAAAATCAGAAAACAAGTGTATACTAAACGTAACTGTAGGAAATGTATTATTCCCTTACAGTTGTATATATAAATAAATTTCTTTTAATTATAAGTAATTTTTTCTATTTTTAAACAATTTAAATATAAGATTCATAATAAAATATTATTTTTATTTTTAAACAATTCTTGTTAATCACTAGTTTAAGTTTTCTCCAAATAACACAGGTCACTTGTTACAACCTATTCTTTTACGATTTTCAAAGTTACACACTAGAACAGGATTTCTAATGCAAATTTATTCAAACTTTAGTAGTTTACTTAACCTTCTGGATTATCACGTTAAATAATAATGAAAATTTACTTAATAATGCTACAAAAATTTAAGGACTTGTTAATTTGGTTTTACTTTTTAATTTTAAAAATTATACTTAAAAATAGGTTAAATAAAGGATTGTTTGATAAATCTAATTAGAAAATCATTTTAGATGTCATATATATATATATATATATATATATATATATATATATATATATATATATATATATATATATTACCTTTCTCTATTTTTTTTCAAAATATATATGATAAAAAAAATTATTTTTAAATATATGTTGTTTGTAAAATTTAAGACTGTATTCATTAATCTTTTATTAATTATATTCTTATCTTATTAATTATATTTATTATAGAGAAAAAAGTTTATAAATAATAAAAAATAAGTTTATATGGAGAAAATATTAAAATAATAAAGATATTAATAAAAAATAATAATAAAAATAATAAAAATTATTATTTTTCATAGTTTATATAATCTGACCTTAAATATAGAAAAGACGGCTTAATCTGTTTAACCTAATTTCACGAATCAAATAAAAATAATAATAATATAACCTTATTTATATTTTAAAATGTAACATAAAAAAATATATTTAACCAAAAATAAACAATGTATATTTAGATTTTAAATTAGATTGATATAAATCATTCTTATTTAATAATTTAATATATAAATTATAAGAAAATATTCATTTAATTATAAAATACAAATTAAATTTTTTATTATCATCTTTTATTCTTTAATAATTTATTCTTTAAAATGATAATTAATTTTAATAATTAGATATGAGAATAAGTAATTATTACACACTTAATTTAATATTTATTTTTTAAATAAATAAATTATTTATTAAATTAATTTATAACATATGTATTAATTAAATAATATTATTTTATGAATAATTATTATTCTATAAAATAGCTTGATTTATTAATTTATGAATTAACCTATTTAAATTAAATAAATTAAAATAGACTTAATTTTGATAAAAAAAATTGTTACATGTATTAACTTTATTTTTTTTCTGCTCTATTTGAATATATGATATATTTTGAATCAAATGCTATATTAAATATATATTAGGTGTACCTTAATTGCACGGTGAATTTAAATGAACCCTACAAATCACATAAGGATGTCCCTTGGGAATCATCAAAGGGGTAGGTTGGAATCCATGGACCCAATTAAAGTAGCGTATGCATAGGGGTTTGTTTACTTTCTTATTTTCTTCAAATACTATTTTATTCCTAATTGATTTCGCAAGAGTTGAAGAATGACACACACTTGTCCTTGACCAAATCAAACACATCTAATATTCCTTCAACTTGGAGGGTAACCTACCAATCAATACCTTACTAAAGTTCAGTTCGGTTTATGTTTTACTAAGAACCTTGTTTTTAATAAATAATAACACTCATTCTATTTCCAAATATAAAATATATCATAAATATTATTTGAAGAATTAGGTCAAATTGTTTTATATGTTAATTATGCTATAGTAAAAAATATTATAGACAAGTTCAGTCCATTTTTTTTTCAAAATTGAAATTACCGCACCTTTTAGATTTTTAAAAATAAATATACAAAAATTATAATACTGAAATTTTCTGACTAAAAATAACTCAAACTTATCATGATCGCCATATATAGTTATATTTGCTATTTTATACAAATTATATTTTTAACATTATTTATAATATTCTAAGTGAAAATAAAGCGTTTACAAATTTTGCAGTTATAATTTGAAAAAAATAATAATAATGAGATTGTAGATAATTTAGATATTTTGATTTTGATTTTTTTTATGGAACGTTGTTTAGAATATTATTCGGATATATTTGAAAATAATGAAATGTGTAAGAGTTCTCAAAATTTCTTTAGATTTTAATATAATTCTGAATAATTCAGAAATAAAATTCGAGTCAATCGAAATGTTAAAAAATGTTACATAAATTTTAAGAATGTACTCTTTTTTTGGCTTATATTGATTTGGACAGAAAAATAAATTAAAAATTACAATAATTTTTTTTATTATAGTTTTTATTATTGTTATCATTTTGGTTTTTGAAAAAAATAAAAATAAAATTAACATATGTTAACGCGGATAACATGGAAGGTCACCGAAAAGAACGAAAAGAAAGACAAAGATTTAGGACGACACTTATTATGAGTTCATCTATTAATGAAGTTAACAAATAATTAATTGACACTTATTGTTTTATATATTTCGGTAACCAACTTATCATCAACTCATATTTTCATAAACAAAATTATTCATTTAAAATATATATATATATATATATATATATATATATGTATATATATATATATTAATTTACATACAAATATTATTTAGAACTCACGGACTAATAAAATATAGATTTTTATTTTGTTTTTTTACATAAATGGTGTTACATATAATATAAAACCTGATAATTTAGGTAATGCGTATATTTTATACTGTGATAATTTATGTGTGATTTTTAATTATTTTATTTTACAAATGACAAGTGTATAAAAATAGTTACGGAACTACATGGTAGCTTCAGGCACTGTACATCCCTGTCTTAAATTTATAAATAATTACATTTGCAATAATTTTATTAACATTTATATTATTTGATTATAACTTATTTTAAAAAATCAGTACTAATTATTAATTAGTACTAATTTCACATGCATGCTTAGTTGCAACTCAAAATTTAAGAAATCTGATAAATATTATGTTTTTTAATATAATTTTAAATGATGAGATTTATGGAACATGTCCGTGAAGGTCTAAAAATGCTATGAATAATATTAAATATTATAATTTTAAAATAAATAAGAGATCAGTTTATTTGAGTTAAAAGATTGACTTTTTTTTAAACCTTCATCTTTCGTTTTCTTATAATTTAATCATTAAAAAAAATTATTATTTTAAATTATTAAATTTAAAAAATAATGAGATGAAGAACAATTTTCTAACATTAATTCTTAATATAATATATTTGTGATTCTGTTAGTTAATTTATCAAATAAATATTAATGTTTTTGATAGGTTTATAATTAGTTAATATTTTGAATTTTATAATTATGAAAATTATATTAACTTTGCTGTAGAATATTTTTTATTATTATATATTACCCCCTCCATTTTCATTGGTCCTGTACCTGTGTATAAACAGGAAAGGAAAAAACAGATAATTAGGTAAAAATCTTACTTTTTAAGACCATTACTAATTAAGTATTCATCAATTAAATATTTTTTAGGAAAGTAATAATTTAGTATTTGTCAAAAAAACTAATTAGTTAGTCAACGAGTAAAAAAAGAATCTACAAAAAAAGAATAAAATAAAAAAATTTGAATAAAACAAACTTAAAAGTCCAAACATTTATTCCTTCAAAAAATGTCCAAACATTTATTAAATTCTTCTTATATACGTCTTCAAACTAATTTTTGTTTACCGACAAAAAACTAAGAACGTTGGTATGCGTTGTCATGATATGCACACTAAAATCGCATGCACTGTGCATCATGCTATACAAGATAACACAGTTACATAGCCATGATTCATAGTTTCCCAAACCAAATTCGCTTTTAAAAAAATTGACTAAAACATTTAAAAATTCTATCAGTATTTAAAAAGGTCTAGCTTTTTTTAATCATTATTCATGAAATAAATAAATCAAACATTTATATTCATTTAAAAAATATTAATATTCAATAAAAATAAAGAACAACCATTCAATAATTTATTTTTAGTTTTTTTTTCGTCAATCAATTAATATATTATTATTTTAACGTAGTTATTTGTATGTTTATATTTCTATCACTCAATTAAAAGATTATTATTTTAAAATTATAATTTTTGTTTATAGAAAAAAAGTGTCAAAATATTAAAAAAAAAATGGTGTCACAAGTAATTATTAGTTCTCCACATAAAATATATATTTTCTTCAAAACTAATTTAACAAAATCCCCTAAGTAACAGTAATTTAATGACAATAAGAAATAAGAGAGCGAGTCAACTCAAACAACCGTTGACTCTCTCGTGGTTCCAATTCCACTTCCACGCACGCACCTATATATAACACAACCAATCCTCACTCATGGCAAGAGCCTAAGATAAACAAAAAACCGCCATGGTTGACGAAGTTGCAAACTCGGACTCGCCGAAGCGCCAAGCCCACGGCTTCATCGTAACGATCTCGGGGATCCTGGCGATGTTGACGAAGCGCGGTTCGCGCAAGCCGAAGCCGAAGCCGAACAAGGACGATGATCGGAGAATCGATCCTAAGTCGGAAAAATCGAGACCGAAGAAGCTTCTCAGCAACATAAGCAACAAAGCGCTTTTGCCGTTCGGTGGTCACAACCACAAGAAGAGTAACAATAAGCAAAGCAGCATGGCGGAAGAGAACGAAGGGTGGGGAAACGGCGGCGTTTGGCAGAAGGAGATTCTCATGGGTGGGAAGTGTGAGCCGTTAGATTTCTCCGGCGTTATTTACTACGACGGAAACGGGAAACAGCTAAGCGAAACCCCTCTCCGGTCGCCACGTGCCAGCCCTTTGCCCGGTTACCTCACGCGCCTCACCCCGCAACATACCCGCTGAAACATCCTTCGCCCTTTCACATCGCGCGTGGCTCTTGTTTTAGTTTCAATCTTCGTATTACGGTTTGTTTAGTTAGCGTTGTAGGTGTTTGTTTTGTTTTGTTTTGGTTGGTAAAAACATTTGTACATGGTTTTTCATGTGAGATGAAGTTATAACTTTATTAGGGTTCGCTTTACCATCAAGGTTCATTTCGTGGTTAGTCATTAGATACTATTGAACTCTTGTTTATTAGGCTTTTGTTTTGCCATGTGTAATGAAGAAAATTTATTTAAGAAAAAAAAAACACATACATTTCAAAACTCTCTTTTAAGTTTTATCCTCTAATTTGAGAGAATATTCATTTTACGTGATTTAAATTATAGACTTTGCATGTATACACTCATTGGTGATAAAAAGTAATTCAATAAATACATACATACATACATATATATATATATATATATATATATATATATATATATATATATATATATATTTATATGAATTTTCTTTTCTTTGGTTTTGCCAGGTATGTATAATTGACAAGAGGAAGGAAAGGAACCTCAAACAATTGTTGTGTTTCTTTGAAAATAAAATAAAGATAGGTACTGATAATATAAACTAAATATAACTTGAAAAGAATAATTCAGTTCCAGGTCACGATTTTATTTAATTATAGATTTGGTGATTTTGCGAGTAATTTATGTATAAAAGACATGAAACAGTGTGTTTGATCAGGTCTAATCCAAATTTGATTCCATCACAATGACAATGGCACGCAGACATTTAATTTAAAAAGCCAGAAAGAGAAGTGGAAGATTTGTCAAATTGCTCTTTGGTCGGGTACAACCACAACCCATTACGTTATTCAAAATAGTATCAAAATTAATCTTAATTGAGTTGTTTTATGTTTTTACTAATTGTTATTAATTATTATGCTTATTTATTTTGTTTGTCTCACATCAATTGTTCTAATTAATATTCCCATTCGATGTTTGAATTCTATAAATTGTTACTTCTTTTATTTACTCAATTCTCTATTTTTATTCATTTTTATTTTTATTTTTATCGAGCAATAATTATTACTCTATTCAATTACTACGTAAATGTATAATTAAGTCTTAGTTTACTAATTTACTATTTTATTAATTTTTTATCATCCCCGATTAATGAATTTCATCTTTAAAGTATCTATCCGTTGATTATTTACAATTTTTAACTAAATTTTCATTGTTACAAAAATCAAACTCATTGTTTTCATTAACTAAGAGTAACGTATATTATTCTGTTCAATTTTTTATGTAATTGATTTTAGATAATTATTTAATTAAGAAAACAAATTTATGTAGTAATTTGATTTAATTATTGTGTCAATACTACTTAAAAAATACCTACATAATTTTTTTCCTCAACCGTTTAATCATGATGAAGTACATAAGCATAAAATAAAAACATTAACAAAGGTTAATTAGAAACATATATAAGATATATTAGAACAAATAAATTTTCCACACATGTCATAAACATGTTGCAAATTGTTGTAAACTTTATAATGTAAACTCATTCATAGCATAATGCAACAATATTATTACATTGAAAGTAATAAATTATTATCATTAGTAAATATAAATCATTAATAAATATATAACATTAATTTTGTTGATATTATATTATTTAAAAAATAATACTGTGGTGCATTGTCAATTAGAGCAATTAAGTAATTGGATATATTTTATTTGTATAAATATTTTCCTTTAGAAAAAAAAGTTTCAGACAAATTTATATCAATTTAAAAATTGATGACAATAAATATTTTAAAATATCATTAATAATAATAATAATAATAATAATAATAATAATAATAATAATATTAACTAACTACGAATGTGTATTATTATGTGCATATAATTTTGATTTACAAATTTTCAGTAATAGATAATAAAAATTATATCTTATTATTACAATAATTAATTACGAGATGTTTATTTTTTAGTATAATATTATATTCAACCAAAAATTTATAAGATAATCATTTTTTTAAAATTTAAATTGAAACTCGGATATTAAAAATTAAAAGAATATAAAAACTATTTTTTTTATAGGTTTTATTTTAATATTTTATATATTATTATTAAAGTAAAAATACTAGCACTATATTACTCTATGTAAAATTTCTTCATCTTAAAAAAAAAAGTTTGGTTCATTTTTCTTTTCTATTAGAAATTATATATGACTGAAATGTCATATGCTTAGAATGTGTTCTATCAGAACAAAGTTTTGATCAGATTTTTCAGAAAATTAGTCAATAAAGAAAGAGAGAGAAAAATGAATAATTTTTAATTAAAATCAAAGTAAAAAGATATATAACAAAATAATTATAATTTTTTTTAACTTATGCGTCAACAAAAGATCCACTTATTTTATGATTAAAGATCCAAACACAACATGAAATGAGACGCGTTAAAGGAAGGAAGATAGTCACTACTATAATAATATAATCAATTAAACCATTTGTGTTCAAAATGAATACGCAAACAAATTTTTTTTAGTTTTCAATTTTCCCAGTTTCAATATCCACAAATATAACAGAGAAGAAAAGTGCAAAAAAAATGATAAACGAAGCAATTTCTTGATTTACAGATATAACAGAAATGCATGTAAAAATAAACATTAATAGATTTATGAAGATGAAGCATATGGTCAAATCTAAGTGGGTAGTTGACTTCAACTTTTGGGGTGTCGACGAAAAGTTCGTGTCTGACCCTTTCAGCAATAATCATCATACATAAGTCAAATGTTCAAAACTTTGACACTACTCAATTTGTGAATATCACTTTTAGATTCATTGAATAATAATATTATTCTTATCATTACTGTTATTGTTATGATAATACCTTAATCGTTTTTTAATATTCAATAAATAGAGTTTAATATATTTCTTTTAAATAGAAAAAAATATTGATGTAAACAATCTTTTACTACGAACTAAAGGTTTTTTAATGTGTACACTGCGTCAGGTTTAGAATTAGGAGGGCCTACATTAATAATATATAATTATGTACTTTTTTAAATGATCCGAAATAAATTTCGAAAATGCATTTACATAAACGATAAATTTAATATATTTTTTAAAAAATGTAATGTTACAAATCTCAAGTCATCAGTTTAATTTTCACATGTCACTAAAAATAGTTATAAATTTATGATGAAATTTGATATACACGGTAACAACAAATATTTAATAAACAAATTCTATTAATTGTTTATCAAATTTACTAATTTAGAATGAATGTATTTTATTAATTGGATTATCTTTTATGATAATAGTAAGTAAAGTTACAAATGATTCATTTTTAAATTGTTGAAAATATATATAAAAAAATGTTATGTCAGGGTAGGACTTAAAAAAATGGTTTTTTAATAAATAGAAAAAATTGTAAAGGGATGATTCCTCCATGAAAAAGTAATATATATAAAGACACTATGAGAAAAAGAGTGACTAATATACAAAATCCTTATTAAGAAATTTGAGAAAAAGTTAGTTCTTTTGAAATAAACAAGTCGGGTGAAAGGAGAATGATAGTCTGATTAGTTTAAAAGATGTATGTTGTATAAAGAGTAATGGACGTTTGGGGTGAAAGATGTGAAAATGTTAACTGAAATATTGTGAGTCAAATAAGAAATTTTCTACTATAAAAGGTACTTTATAGTGTTCAATTTTTGAAGCAAAATATGATGATAGGAGAGTTCTATACCCAAAGGCAAATATCATGAATAAATGTGCTTTTATACTGTGGAGAGACATTATAAAAGTATATAACGATGAAAACCAATTTAATTGGTTTTGGAAAACCGTAACATTGAAAATAAGAAATGAAAGTAATATTAGCTTTTTGGCTTGATAAATGGAAGAGAGAATAATGATGGACTTTAACATAAGCATTTTCATTAATTTAGAAAAAAACATGATGTACTAAAAAACATAGACTTTGGATATAAAACAAATGAAAATGAAACGATGTAGAAGTTAATTTAAATAGGAAGAGAATTTGTTTAATAACTCCAAAAGTTGACCAAATAAATAAATGATCAAATAAATAAATTATCTGTTAGAGACAAAATAAATGAATGAAGATGGATTAAGAAAAAGCATAATTTTTAGTATTTGTTGAGTTGATGAAAATAATATATTTTGAAAAGTTTCACATCAGATTGGATAACCAATAGAATGCGTAATAATAACTATATAATAAATTTAAAGTTAATGATGTTTCTCATCCCAGTCAAAGACATTTTAAGTATGTATTTGACTTTTCTTATACTCTTGTAATTGAGTGTTGAGAGGATTAGTTTAAATTATTGCTTTGGAGAGTGTGAGTGTATTTGAGGTTAAAGAACATGAGAAAGTTGTCTATGTGTTGTAAATTTTTTTACACTGTGTTATTTTTTGGTTATCATTACCTAATGGTCATGATTTTTCTTCTTTTTTGAAGTTTTCATGTTATATTCTTGTATTGATTGTTTTTCTCTTATTTCTCTATTAGTAGGGTAATTTTCGAGGATAAACACGGTGATGTTTTTCATGATGTTTTTTCCCACATCAGAGTGGTATCAGAGCTTATGGTTCAGTGAGATATTCTTAGTATGCTCTGTCGTTGCAGATCTTATGGTTCAATGAGATATTTTTAGTATGCTCTGTGGTTGTTGATCTTATGGTTCAATGAGATATTCTTAATATGCTCTATCTTTGCAGCTTAGTTTGATATTTCACATCAGAAAAGATTAATTCCTTGTTATTAGATAATCATCCTTGGTTGATGAAGTTGTAATATCATTTGCAAGTGCTGTCAAATGTGACATAGAGAGATGTGCTGATACAATATGGATTACACAAAGTGTTGAAATGAAGAACTTCTAATATGAAGTTAAATATCCTTATGGCATAACCGCGTTGTCATGGAAAAGGGTGAACTTTTGCTAGTGGTAATTATGCAAGGGCAATGACTAATATTGATGTAAGG